CAGATACCCCAAAATCGCTGCTGTGCCTTTGTCCAGACCCCAAAAACTTGGGGCAAAGTTTACCAAGAAAGTAAACGGCCAAAAGTTAGGTATGTGGGAGACACACCCACAAACCACCTCCGGCTCAGCTATATAATTAGAAGCATGGCCTCTCTGGTTCCTGATCAAACTGCTTAACGGCCATGATCCCAGAGACTCAGAAACGAATCTCGGAACCCAAAGGCTTTTGGCAAAAATGTGTCCTGTTCCTGCAGTAGGTTACTGGCGCTGGGCCACTCAGGTGGGAATAGGTTTTGTGCGTTGGTCTGTTCCCCCTGGCAGCCCAGTGACTGCCATCCTCCAGAGGCCACTGGAAGTCAGGTTTGGGCCTGCAGTGAGAGACACGTGGGGCCTCACCAGATGGGGGTGGAACCGGCCCCTTCCTCCCCATCCCAATGAGACCCCGAGTCGCTGCCTATAAACAGCCTCTTTGGCTTCTGATCAAGCTGATTAACGGCCATGATCCCAGAGACTCAGAAACAAATCTCAAAACCCAGCAGCTTTTGGCAGAAATGCATCTGGACCACATACAAGGTGGCCGCCGCCTCAGAGCTTATAGGAAAGCCAGGTATGAGCTGGCGGTGACGGGACAACTGCAGTCTCATGGGAAGGGGGGTGGTACTGGCTCGTCCTTCACGCCCTACCGAGGTCACAAGTTGCACCCCATAAGCGGCTCTCCGGCACGGCCATGGCTCCAGAGGCAAAAGGACTTAATCCAGAGCCTGGCAGCTTGCGGCAGATAAGTAAATGGACCATGCATTAAACTATGGCACCATGCCTCCCAGGGAGGGAAAGGATGTTGCTCCCTTCTGCCTCCCCCCCTCCCCCCCGCAACAAGGTGGCCGCTGTCTCAGAGCTTATAGGAAAGCCAGGTATGTGCCGGCGGTGATGGGGCAACTGCAGTCTCATGGGAAGGGGGATGGTACCAGCTCGTCCTTCACGCCCTACCGAGATCACGAGTTGCCCCCCAAGAATGGCTCTCCGGCACAGACGTAACACCAGATGCACAGAAACCAATCTCGTGATTATCTGACTCTGCAGAAATCCAAAATCATTATATGATTCTCATAACCAGCTATAGAAAACGAAGTATTTCCCAATGCTTTTTCAGCAATTCTGATTATGGGGGGGGGGGGGAATTTTAAACAATAATGGCACATCTTTTGTCAAAATAATGAATGTAATCAATGTACAGAAAAGTTAAGTAGAAATCACCTGCCTCGGGGGTATGGTGCCGCCAGCAGGTCAATCTGTACCTGTGAGGCGAGTGCATCAGCAGCCTCATGGCACCTTCAGACTTCCAGATACCCCAAAATTGCTGCTGTGCCTTTGGCCAGACCCCAAAAACTTGGGGCAAAGTTTACCAAGAAAGTAAAAGGCCAAAAGTTAGGTATGTGGGAAACACACCCACAAACCACCTCTGGCTCAGCTATATAAATGGAGGCAAGGCCTCTTTGGTTCCTGATTGAACTGCTTAATGGACATGATCCCAGAGACTCAGAAACGAATCTCAGAACCCAGTGGCTTTAGGTAGAAATGCGTCTGGTCTCTGCAGTAGGCTACTGGTGCTGGGCCAACCCAGGTGGAAATAGGTTTTGTGCCTTGGCCTGTTCCCCCTGGCGGCCCAGTAGCCGCCATCCGTCTGAGGCCACTAGATAGTCACATTTGGGCCCCCAGTGACAAGACACACAGGGCCTCACGGGATGAGGGTGGAGCCGGGCTTGTCCTCCCCACCCCAACGAGACCCCAAGTCATCGCCCACGAATGGCCTCTCTGGCTCCTCATCAAGCTGCTTAACGGCCAGGATCCCAGAGACTCAGAAATAAATCTCAAAACCCAGTGGCGTTTGGCAGAAATGCATTTGGACTCCACAGTACGTTACTGTCACCAAGCCACCCCTGGGAGGAAAGGGTGTTGTCCCTCCGCCTGCTCCCTCTTGGCGACTTGGTGGCTGTCATCCTCCAGAGGCCATTGGGCAGTCAGGCTTGGGCCCGCAGTGACGAAACCTGTTGGGTCTCACGGGATGGGGGGGGAGGTGGAGCCAGGCCTGTCCTCCCCACCCTAACGAGACCCCAAGTCATCGCCCACAAACGGCCTCTCTGGCTCCTCATCAAGCTGCTCAACGGCCTTGATCCCAGAGACTCAGAAACAAATCTCGAAACCCAGCGGCTTTTGTCAGAAATGTGTCCGGACCCCGCAGTAGGTTACTGTCACCAGGCCACCCCAGGGGGGAATGGGTGCTGTCCTTCCGCCTGCTCCCTCTTGGCGACTTGGTGGCTGTCATCCTCCAGAGGCCATTGGACAGTCAGGCTTGGGCCCGCAGTGACGAAACTTGTTGGGTCTCACAGGATGGGGGGGAGGGGTGGAGCCGGGCCTGTCTTCCCCACCCCAATGAGACCCCAAGTCATCGCCCACGAACGGCCTCTTTGGCTCCTCATCAAGCTGCTCAACGGCTATGATCCCAGAGACTCAGGAGCAGATCTCTAAATCCAGTGGCTTTTGGCAGAAATTCCTCCAGATTTAAGTGTTAAAATTTCAGAATTTCAAAACCACACGGCCCTACTGCAGCCACACGACATCATATGTTATTCATAACCAGCAATAGAACACAAATTGTCTATTGTTGCCTTTTGAGCAGATCTGAGTGTTGGGGTAAAATCTTAAATAATGGTGGGTCTGGTGTCGAAATAGTGAATGTGATCAAAGTAGAGAGAGAGTAATGTAGAAATCATCTGCCCCACAGGCAGGGGGAGGGTGTGGGATGGGGGTATACTGGGATTTTTGGTGGTGAAGAATGGGCACTGGTGAAGGTATGGGTGTTTCATTGTATGACTGAGACTTAGACCCAAAAAGCTTTGTAACTGTTCTCACGGTGATTCAATAATAAAATTATTAAAAATGGAAAAAGAAAAAAAAGTAAGGTGGAGTTCATGTACAATTCAATCAGCTAATCAGTGGCTGAATAAATAGCAGTACTCCTACCAAAAAAAAAAGGGGGAAAAAAAAAGAAATCATCTGCCTCACAGGCATTGAGAAGGGTGGGAGGGGGATATATTGGGGTTCTTGGTGGTGAAAAATCAGTACTGGTGAAGGGAAAGGTGTTTGATTATTGTATGACCAAGACTTAACATTGAAAGCTTTGTAACTTTTCCCACAGTGATTCAATAAGTAAATATAAGAAGAAAAAATAAACAAAATTATGAAAAAAAAAGTAAGGTCGAGTTCATGCCCAATTCAATCAGCTAATCAGTGACTGAATAAATAGCAATACTCTTACATAAAAAAATGTTCTTACTAAACAACCTGGAAGCTGGGACTCTACCCTAGTACTTCCTAGTTCTGTCATTTACATCATTTGGCTTGTCAGTTACTTTAGTTCCCCTTGTTCCTCATGGGTCCATAATAGTACCTGTAATGAGAAGGCTTACACTCCACAGCCAGTCACCACATATCTGTTGCTGGGAGAATCTGGGTAGAAAATGAGGAAGTGCCCGGTGAGAGCTGCCCACACTGCTGGGTGCAGAAGGGAACAGTTGAGGTGAACAAAGCTGGTTACTAACCCAACAGCACCCAACAGACCCTCCAGTAAGCCAGCTAATCCTGTGGGGATTCACTTTCCAGGTGGGAACAAGAGATTGGGAGCAAATAGGGACCCTGCCAGTGGCTACAAGAGTGGATGTGACAGAGTCCCAAGCATGATGTCCCCAGTTTCCCCTTTCCCATTCCTACCGGGGAGAGGGCTATAACTTCTCTTCAGAGCAATAAGGAGATAGTTGTCTTTTCCCAGTCTGAGGGAGGCTTCTGGGAGAAGGAGACTTTCCACTCTGGTTTTCCCTCACACTTAATCAGCATCTCTAAATTGCATGTGAATATAGACCATATTCGGCATTGCTCAGGGGCTACTCCCTGCTCAGTATAGCTCCCTGTATTGCTGATGGGACCATGGAATGCTGGGAATCGCACTAAGGACGCCATGCTAAGCTTGTGCTCCAGTCCTATGAGCCATCTCCCCAGCTCCCTGAAATCTAAAATTTCTATTTCAGCACCTCTACTTCACCTATTTTTCTTTGTGGTAAAGATCATGGAAGTTCACTGCCATGTACACTCCTCTCCCGGGTGTAGTACTATTTCCCCAGGATGCATTTCAAGAGAACACATGTTTTAGTTTCTTTTGACACATGTTGTCATGCAAGTTTCCCAGTCATTGGCAATTAGGTATATGAATCAAATACCAGATTCTCTTATAGGTGATCTTGGGCTCTAATGATAGGTAATGTGTTGTTATGAACTTTATAGAAGACCACTAGGGCCGCAGGAGCGGTGGTTAAAAATGCAACCCAGAGCTGCTAGAACCTGGGATTTCCAATCCAAACAGATTATGGAGTGCTTCCTTCCTCCCACTTCACTTGCCAAATATTTACCTGGAATCTGATACAAGAAGCCGACCTGGGTGTGAGGGGATGCCAACCCATTGGTTGTTGTATCTCTCGCAAGGAGGGAAATGAGATTGGGAGTACCCTACATTCGTGAAGAGTCATTCATTAGATAAAAAGTTTCAGAACTACTGGTGAAAAAAATGAAGGCAATGCTAAACCATGTGCCATATTATAAATCTGCTTTATTTAGCGGTTGGCAGAGCGAGAAGACTGGAGGAGAGTATTGAGACACAGACACTGTGTCATAGAGCATTAGGCATTAGCAAACACTGTAATAAAGGATCTCAGCACTGGAAAGAGGCAGTTGCTGACACAGTGAAAAGCAAGGGAAGTTGGCTGTTCTGGGGTCTGGGTCAGGTAGTGACTGCTGAGAGAAGGCTGAACGCAGCTGGAGGAGGGATAGAGAGATGAGAAAGGCAGGCGCTCAGCCATTTCAGTTCTCTCAGAACTGAAGCCAGGAGCCAAGAGAAAAGGAACAGCCTCAGAAGAGTGAAGCACATCAGGGGCGTGAGATGTGGTGGGACCAAGAGTGCAGGGTGGGACTTCAGTTCCTGTAGCTCTTCCGGCTGGAGGATGAGGTGGTGGTGTACTTGATGGTGGAAGTGCTGCCTCCGGAGGAGCTGAAGCCACCGCCCATGCCTCTGCCGCTGCCGGAACTGAAGCCGCCTCCCAGGCTGTGGCCGCTGCCATAGGAGTAGCTACTGCCTCCGCCCATGCTCAAGCCACTGCTGCCACCACTGCCACTGCCGTAGCCTCCAGAGACGGTGGACTGCACCACAGCTGCAGAGGGGCAGGAACAAGGACATAAGACACGGCAGTCCATTCTCCAGCCTGACCGAGTCCCAAGGGCACAAGGGCGAGGAGGTGGAGGGAGCAAAGGTACTTACAGATGTTGACTTGTCCAACGCCTTCTCCATTCAGCCTAGGAGGGAGGAAACACAGGGAGGGTGAGGCCTCAGAGACAACTACTGAACACACAGGGGGCTTGGTTGTAAGCAGAGACCTGGGGGACTGGTCTTGAAGGTGTTACAGAGAGTAGTGATTGTGATGATGGTGGCATTCAGCTGTGTTGCTCATTAGCAAGACCCGGTGGAGCTGTCTCCAGATAACTGGGGAGTGCCAGGGAGGTACCCACCTGCACTCCTCGCCCTCCAGCAGCTTCCTGTAGGTGGCGATTTCTACATCCAGGGCCAGCTTGACATTCATCAGCTCCTGGTACTCCTTCAGCAGCCTGGCCATGTCCTGCTTGGCCTTCTGCAGGGCGTCTTCCAGATCGACCAACTTATTCTTGGCATCCTTGAGTGCCATCTCTCCACGCTGCTCCGCATCAGCAATGGCAGACTGCAGGTTGGCACACTAGAGGGGGAAGAATGGCAGGATGAACTGACAGTGTGGTTTTCAGAGGACACTGTCTATGGGTTCCTTTCTGAGGGAGGGAGAGCTTATGAGCCTAGATATTATGAGAAGGATTTCTAAGATGCCCCCTTTGCAATTTTTTCTCGTGGCTGAGTGCCTGAGAGGTGTGCCCTTTGTGTCCAGACCTTCGTGAGCATTTGGGTGATGATTTGTTACAGTAGACATGAGCCTAGGGGCAGAGGCAGAAATGGCTCAAGCTTGTTATGAATATGTACAGTTTTTGGTAATACATTTGAATGCCACAGTAAAGTTAAAAGTTACACATGTCCTCTGAGATGATGAGTTTCACATCAACCACCGAGATTTGCCTCAAGTCTCATATTTGTAGAAAAGTGAATCCACATCTTGTCTCTCTCCTAGACCTTCCTTACCATGAATGTTAGGTGATCTTCACCCAATTTATGGCTGACTTTTTTCTAATCAATGTTTTGGTACTTGTCATTTATTAAAGATTCATAGTGAGCTCTTTTCCATGCCTCTTGATGGCATCATTATGATATTTGCCCTTTGGAATTTGACCACCACAACTGGTGATAGATTTGGGATCATATGTGATAAATGTGGGCACTAGGAAGGGGAAACCTTGCATGTCCCTCATCCCAGAAGCTCTCTCAGTGTCCAGGAATTTCCCAAATGAAGGAAGAAGACCACTGGCGATCTAGCAAGGTGACAATGCTTGTGTCCTTCACTGTCCCCAAACAGACCTGTTTCTTGACATGGTCGATCTCAGATCGGAGCCTCTGGATCATGCGGTTGATCTCGGCAATCTCCTGCTTGGTGTTGCGCAGATCATCACCATGTCTGCCGGCTGACCTCTGAAGCTCTTCATACTGCCATCCAGAGAGAGAGAGAGAGAGAGAGAGAGAGAGAGAGAGAGAGAGAGAGAGAGAAGGGGACATGTTTGAGCTCTCCATCCCAATGGTGGCCCTCACATGGAAACGGGCATCTCATAAACATCAGCCTGATGCACTTTCTACAAGAGATTTTAGAACCAGTTTATCTCTTAAGGCCACAGACAATTTTTTAAGGACCAGAGACTGTCTTTGGAATGACAATGTTCCAACCTAAACCTGAGAACAAGCTCATGGCATCTTGGACATGTATTCCAGAAATGTGAGTTCCTCTGGAGTAGCATGTCTACCCTGTGAGAGGACTCCTGCTTTCTGGCAGTAGAGTTCACAGGGAAATTTCTCACCTTGCTGGGCTCCATGGAAGGGGCAGGCATTTCTCAACAGCTACCAGCTGCCCACTCACCTTGATCTGGTACCAGGACTCAGCCTCAGCACGGCTTCTTTGGGCAATCTCCTCGTATTGGGCCTTGACCTCGGCAATGATGCTGTCCAGGTCCAGGAAGCGGTTGTTGTCCATGGACAGGACCACGGATGTGTCTGAGACGTGAGTCTGCATCTGGGACAGCTCCTGCAACAAAAGATGGTGAGATCATCTTCCACTGCACATTGATCTGAGAGGGCAGAGGGCATCTATGAGAGCCACCAAAATTAAGGTCTTCACCCTTTGAGATGCCCACTTACTGCCTCATAGAGGGCTCTCAGGAAGTTGATCTCATCCATGAGAGTGTCGACCTTGGCTTGAAGCTCAACCTTGTTCATGTAGGCAGCATCTACATCCTGGGGAAGAAACCAGAAACCTGCAGTCAGCTGAGCCTCCTTCCAGCATAACCGCCTTGGACTCTCCCAACCTCTTCTCTGGGATGTGGGCAGGGACCCAGATCCCTTCCTGGGCAAGGAAAAATAGCCCTCTAATTTCTCATTCTTCGACAAACTCACCTTCTTGAGGGTCACAAATTCATTCTCTGCTGTGGTACGCTTGTTGATTTCATCTTCATATCTAGAATTGGAAAGAGATGAACCTTTATTGAGACAAGACTGAGTATAGGAGAGGCAGCCATACAGTGACCATCCAAAAACTGACTATTCCCACGTTGAACTTTCATGCAATAAGAAGACTATATTATGGGGTTTTTTTCCTGTGGACCTAAAGGACTTCCAATTTTATTCTTCAAACTCTCTTTTGGGTCCTTTTTTTTCCTTTAGACTGGTTATGGGTTAATTGTGCTTTTCATTTCCAAGCCCATATTTTGCTCAGGATTGAAGACCACCTAAAATGGGTGTGTGTGTGTGTGTGTGTGTGTGTGTGTGTGTGTGTGTGCACGCGCACTCTGCTGGAAATGGTGCCCCTTTTTCATATTGAACTCACTTGTTCTTGAAGTCCTCTACCATGTCCTGCATGCCCCTGAGCTCAGAGTCCAGGCGGCCTCTCTCGCCAAGGATGCTGTCCAGCTGTCTCCTGAGGTTGTTGATGTACTGCTCGAACATGGGCTCCAGGTTCTGCCTCACGGTCTTGGTGCCCTGCTCCTGGAGCAGAGCCCACTTGGTGTCCAGAACCTTGTTCTGTTGTTCCAGGAAGCGCACCTGGAGGAAGATACGTGGTCATTTGTTAGATAGAGGAAGGAGAAAGAGAAGAAGTAGTCAGGTCCCCATGCAGCCCTCTACTGATTAGAATAGAATTGTACAACCTCTGGCGCTGGTGTTGACTCCTAGAATCTTCACGAGCAACTTGCCTCTCTATGGGAAGCCACCCATGGCACCTTTGAGGTTTGTCACCCCCAAAATCATGGAGCCTTTGTCTATCGGTGTCTGTCAGCTTCTCTAATCATGTTGACAAACTCGATGGCATATTGAGAGTCTTTCTTAATAAATTTCCCAATTCTATTTTGGTTAAGACCTCATTAACAGTTGCATATATTTAAAATTTTGTGATTGAATGTGAAAGTAACTACTGATGAATTCTTATCTACGTTAGCCGTGAGTGCCTGATAGTCTCTAAATGATGTTGCTTTAAAGGTCATGCTGTGTTGGATCAGTGTTTCTACTCCTACCAAAGATTCTTATCTCTATTTTCCATTTTCCCAAAAGCCCATGGAAATTTCTATTGCATTTTCTTGTAATGTCTTGGATTCTAGTGCTAATCACCCCGACTGACTTATTATTTCTGTTCTTTTCTTAGGGCACTGAGAGACTGAGCCTGTTTCCTTGGCAGAAAGGCGGAGTTTAAGGAGACAGGGCCACCTGGTGCCATCCATCCTTTCTGCCTGTGTCCTCACGGATGCCACCCACTTCCCTTGGACAGTGGGTCTGTGTCCCCTTGTCCTCTGAGTCTCTCTTGCGGGGCTCAGGTCACTAGGGTGGTGGTGGGGTCCGGGAGGGCAGGTGCAGTGGCTTTACCTTGTCAATGAAGGAGGCGAACTTGTTGTTGAGGGTCTTGATCTGCTCGCGTTCCTCCGTGCGCACGCGCTGGATGGTGGGGTCGATTTGCAGGTTCAGAGGGGTGAGCAGGTTCTGGTTGACGGTGACCTCTTGGATGCCTCCCGGGGGGCACACGGGGAAGCCCGAGCCCCCGTAGCCGCCGCCGAGCCCGAAGCCACTGCCAGCGGCACCGCCAAAGCCAAATCCACTGCCCAGGCCTCCTCCAAAGCCGAAGCTGCCACCAGCTCTGCTGCCATATCCTCCGCTGATGGCACAGCTGCCCCCTCCAATGGATATCCTCTTGGAGCCCCCCAGGCCATAGAGGCTGCGGCTGCCAAAGCCGGCCCCTGAGCACGCTCCGCTGCCCCTGGAGCGGGACACGGACATGCTGCTGAAGCCGGAGCGGGAGCCCCCGGGCACCCGGGCCGAGCAGGCGCTGAAGCCGCGGTGGCTGCTGCTTTGGGTCCTCATGGTAGATCTGACGGACATGCTGTCTGGAGAGTGAGTGCTGGAGAGTGAATGGAGAGAGGCTGTGGGTAGCAGAGGAGCAGTGTGGAGGGGAGCTGCCGCGGGCTCCTTATATGCGGTGGCCTGGGCTGGGCTTTCCTGGGAGGTGAGCTTACCCATGGGGAGGGGCTGGGCTTTACAAACAGTGAGATCACCCCAGCCCCTAGAAAGGTATGAAATAGGAAGATTGCCTTTGTCAGGAAGCAATTCTCTTGCCTTCCAGCCTTGACTTGATCTTAACACAATAGGCCTGGAGATGAACTTACTGAAGTCACGGCTTAGTCATGTTCTCAAACAAAGGAGACAGAAGCTGATCTGTGATAATTGTCTCTTCCTTCTGCTTACGCAGACACTCTGTGTGCCCCCTGCCCACACAGAGCTGTCCTGCCCAGCACCACCCCTTCCCATCAGGGTGCGGCCTGGAGACTTTCAGGCATTTGCCCGGTGGCCTCAGCAAGATGTGGCCTGCAGGGCTTTCCCACCGTGTTCCAACTTGTGTGAGTGTCTCGGGCTCCTGGTGGCCTGGGCACAGGGATGGCGCACTTCAGTTCTTTTTAGAAGCGGAGGGGGGAAGAATACCGTGTTTATACCCTGAGATCAATATTGGATCTCTGATCTGTGATTACCACCAGTGTCAGTTTCCTGGGTTTTGCAGTCACCCCATTCTGCTCCTGAGAACCCTACCTTCTGCACAACCTGAAGCCTCTCCTCAGTAAGTGCTCACCATGGAGCTGATTATGTACATTTTCCCATTTTTTAATTTCTTTGGGTACTCCTGGCGTTGCTCAGGCCACTCCTGGCTTTGTACTCAAGGAACCAGATATGGTGCTGGGATCAAACTGGGGTTGGCTGAATGCAGTGCAGACATCACAAGCCCTATGCTCTCTCTCTCTCTGGAAAGTACTTCTTTCTTATTGGAGTCATAAAACCTTTGCTTCTAATTGAAATCAAAAGCCAGGGGAGAGGCATATCTTTGTTCTTGGCCCATGGATCTTGTCCTCCTTTTCAATAGGTTTAGATTTTTCCCTTTGCATTTAAGTTTAGAATTCATAGGGGGAAAATTATAAAGGGCTTCCACTGAATCGTATTTCTATAAATTTTGGCACTTCATAAGAATTCAGTATCAGACAGCTTAATGGGGTGTGTACAGAAAGTTAAGGGCTGTATAGAAATAGTGAATCATGAAAAATGTGCCCTTACAAGTGGGATGATGTCACAAGTAAATACCAAATTTAAATTTCCAATCTCTGTACTTCGAACCTCTCAGAGGGAAGGAGTGTGCTAAGCCAGCAGGACTGATTTAGTGGGCGGTGAGGTTCTATTTTTTTCTAGTCCTTATATTAAAGTTCAGGGATAAGATGCAGAGAGAAAGACACCATAGGCTTGTTCTCTGAGCACATGTGGGTATATGGGCAACCACAGGAGAAAGACTAGTTCCCTCTTTGATGGAGCAAACTTTGTGTGACTGATAAGCATCCTGCCCTCCAGTGGCTTAGGGGGCAGAGCACCAGCAGGCCAGGGCATTCCCTGCCCAAGGTAGATGCTAACTCAGCACCAGGCAGGAAAAAGCTACCTTCCCAAGAAATGGAAGCAGCTTCCCTCCCTCCACTCGGTTGCACAATGGTTGACCAAGCAATGTGCTTCCACCCAGTTCTGGGAAAGGTGTGTTGCCTTCCATGCACGAAGCTCTGAGCCACTCTTCCCCTCTCGGGATTGAGGCTTTCAGGCTGGGCAGGGCTGATGCTGGGGAGGCACGGGGAGGGGGCAGTAAGGAGGATAATGAGCCAGACAGGAACATTATGCATTTGCCTGGTGTTCTGTTGTGGCAAGGGCCATGCCCATGGTGATGGCTGTCTTTCCTCTGCAGTGACAGAGGTGAGAAGCCATAAGAGCATATGGCTTGCGAAGCCTCACAGATGGGCTCTTTGTTTTTCAAATTTTTTTATTTAAAAAATTTTTTAAATTTTGTAAGGTGGTTCACCATGTTTGATTACAGTTACTATTCAAACACCAACCCTACCACCCAGTTTGGGATGTTTCCAGCCCAAGCCCTAATCCCTGTCCCAAAGCACAGCCAAAATAGTATATTTTGTATTGTCTGTAATGGAAAACCGTCTTATGATGTGTTGTGTGGCCACAAATGCGGCCACGCAGTCCAGGAATATGTTCAACACATATGCGAGGCTCAGCCCGAGTATCTGGGAAATAGCCTTGAACATGGCAGCAGTTGGGTTCTGCAGGGGTTTGACTGCTGGCGCTGGGTCCCTAGGGGCAGGGAGGGCTCTCACCTGCCCCCCTCTGGAGTTCCCCGAGTGAAACAGCCTGACAGGGGGTCTGGTGGCATGGCTATGGCTGGCATCATGTTGCTCCCTTTTGGGAGAAAAAGCCGTGTGATCTGGATGGTGGCCGATGAGGAGATGATCTGGTGCTGGCAGGAGGTGGTTGATGGGCGTTACCGGTGGGTCATCAGAGACTTGAGGAAAATGGGTAGAGGATCTTTGGATGGGCTCTTTGGATCTTCAAAAGAAGCTTCCCAACTCCTAGTGGAGAGCATGGGCTCTGGAGACAGTGCTCAATCTTACATGCTGGCCTCCCAACCTGTGTCCCTTTATGCTAATTTCTAATTTCTTCTAGCCATAACCTGGGGGTGAAAATAATAACAACGTCACGGTGATATGGCAAACTTTACAAGAGACGATTGATGAAAAGGACTTAGTATTATCTCAATGAAAATGAATTAATATCATTATTATTGTGAAGCAGGAAGAAGGTCGGTGTGTTCAGAAGTCTCTGGAGGTGCAGTGCCTGTATGTATGTGTGTTTGTGAGTGTGTGTGTAGGGAAGGACATGGAATGAAAGATAATGAACCCAACATCACAGTCTTTGCAATATGCTGGACCTAGAAACCCTATAGGGGTTTGCTTTTGCCCCTGAGGCCATGGAAGGTGGAGGGGCAGGAGGATTTGAAGCATAGTTTGCAAACCTGCTGGTGCTTGAGCATCAGTTAGGGAAGAGCACTGCCAGAGATGCAGGTCTGGAAGCAGTGGCCAAAGGGAGGAGGGGGCATCAGGCCTTGGGTGAAGGTTCTGACAGCCACTCTCCCCTCCTTCAGGGCTGGCCTCCTTAGGTGGGTGTACACAGGGACAGGGGACCCTGCGTCAGCGTGTCACTGGATCAACTGCCCTTCAGAGCTGTTTCTCTTTCTTTACCAGGGTGAGGCTGGGCCATCTTCAGAAGTTCAGAAATTCCCATCAACTCCTCCACCTTCCAGGGAGCTCCCTGGGAAATTCCCATCCACCTCCCTCCTCCCAGGGAGCTCCCTGGGAATCAATTCCAGTGACTTTGGGTGAGGTGTAAACCAAGGGGTTCCTGAGAGATGGAGGAGCTTGTAAAGAGGGGCCCTGTGGCAGACCTATTTCTGATTATGCTCTTTCCCAGTGCCATCAATCTTATAAGGTCAAGTTTTCCCTTAGTTCTCTGGACCCTGGTTTTCTTTCCTGGGGTGGGGGTGGGGGGCTTAAAGGGATATAGTATTCCTGAGATCCATTTCAGGTTGAAGTCCACACCAGGCCATGGTATGTGACTCTTCACTTGACCCGGTAGATGACTTTTTAGAAACTTCCGCTTTAAGCAAAATGTTGTATAATGAAATTGGATCCTCAAATAATATCATTGTGGTCAATGATGTTTCATTGTTAAGTTGATGACAGAGAAGGATTTCAGTCCAAACAGGAAACAGTTACAAGAGGATGTGGGGCCAGAGAGATAGTATAGTGGGTAGGGCACTTTGTCTTTCACATGGTTAACCCAGGTTAGATCTCTGCCATCCCATATGGTCCCCTGAGTACCACCAGGATTGATTCCTGAATGCAGAATCAGGAGAGACTCCTGAGCATCTCCAGGTGTGGCCCAAACACACAAAACCAAACAAAAGAGAGGATTTGCTATTCTTCCCTCTTGCTCTCCAGTTGGGCCTCTGACCCGCACCTGTTGTAGCTCCCGAAGTGGGCTATGGGGTGACCCTGCTGCTTCTCCACTGAAATCCGCCCTGCCCAGTGAGCCTGGAGCCTTACAGTGGCGCCTAGGGGACTCCTATTTTCCCAGAGTGCAGGGTGGGGAAGCCACCTGCTTCAAGAGATTAGAACAAAGGATGATGGTTCAAATAACTATGTGAGACGCACTGAAGCAAGACGCATGAGTAACAACGAAGGCAGCTGGCCTCCTCCCGGGCAGGCTCTGGAGAATCTCCATCCAGGAGATGGTGCTGACTCCTATGGCCGTGGACGAGGACAGCCTTTGTTCTGGAGCCTGGGGATTAGCTTGACCTTCTTGTTTCTCATTTTTGTCCTTCATTTTTTTCCCACAGCATGCAGGGGGTCAGGAGGGAACCAAGGTACCTATGCCTCTGGATAGTCTACTCGCAGAGGATCTGCCTTTTCTGTCTGCCTCCCTGGGTGGAGCTCTGGATGAAGGAAGGGTGGGTTATTGTCGTCATCATCAAAAGCTTAAGCCTAAGTGCATCATCCCCGCAAGTCCCAGCATAGATGATGTTTGTGTGCAGGGAATCCCACAGCCCCATCCCATTCCCAGGAGTACCCACTGAGAGAAGCAGGCAGATGCACGGGGGAACACAGAGGCTGCAAAGTAGGGGCGATAAGAGCAGCCCTTTATGCTACTTTGAATGGTTGAAAATGCATCGAAATGTTCTAAGTGGTCCGGCATAGTATCCAGGTTGCATAAACACGCAACTTGCATTTGAACGGGAGCATTTTCCTTTATGTTTCTGGTTTCACACACACTGTCCACCATCCTTTACAGAGAACACAGGAAAGTTGCCAGTATCTGGGTATAATCCCTGGGAAATTTTAACCACACTCTAGCATATTACTTCCTTGTTCTGATGGTTTTTTGTTTTGTTTTGTTTTGTTTTGTTATGGGACATGTACCTGATGCTGTACTCATGGCTTCTGCCTGGCTCTGTG